TAAGGAAACAACGCATAATCATTATAATAATAATCTCATGTAAGTTTAGGAAATAAAAACAGCGTTTTTACTGTATTATTATATACGATTTTTCCACGTGAACTAGTCGGCGCTGAAATGCCTGGAATGATGAAGCTTTTAGTTACGCCAGGAGGCTCTATATAAAGATTTAAGGAAACAACGCATTATCATTATAAAAATATTCTCATGTAAGTTTAGGAAATAAAAGCAGCGTTTTTACAGTACAACGCTCATTTTTTCCCCGTGAAGAAGTCGGCGCTGAAATGCCTGGAATGATGAAGCTTTTAGTTAGGCCAGGAGGCTCTATATATTGATTCATAATCATTTTAAAAATATTCTCATGTTTAGGAAATAAAAGCAGCGTTTTTACTGTATTATTATATACGATTTTTCCACGTGAACTAGTCGGCGATGGAACGTGTGGAATGATGAAGCTTTTAGTTAGGCCAGGAGGCTGGAAACGACCGCCGGCGCCCGGCCTGAGATTTGTTGGCGTCGGCAAGGCCTAAATAAATGATCTTAAGTGTTGACTTATTCGTCTCCCAAATTTGCTGGCAAAATTTACATGTACGCTTTACTTTAAAATCGCACACTTCGATAAATGGGTCGAAATTTATCCAAACAGTGATGCATTTTTGGGTCAACCTGACCCAGTTTGTCTCGTGAAAATACGTATCAGAGCAACATCCGCTAAAGTGCGGTGCGTTGCTACTGAAAAACCTGACCCAATAATTCTTCTGAGTGCATGATTGACGGTGTGCGAAATTTTAAAAAATGATTATTTCTCCCACATTTTCCTTCCTTCGACACAAACGAAAATGAGCGAGACGATGTGAAAACTGAAGTATGGCTCGCTGCAGGTTCTAAATTCCTGAGTAGGAAACTACAGACGAGATCTCCTGGAGGCTCGTAATCTTTTATTCTAATTAAAATTGGACTTAAGAGACGGGGGTTCTTTTTTAGGTCTCAAATGACTTCTTAAGGTTTGGGGTCTTTTTGAGTCTCAAAAGACCCAGCCAAGAGTCTTTGACGTATTTAAAGCCTCGTGTGCGAGTCAAAGGCTTCAATAAGGATCTTTAATAATTAACGCGAAAAAGCATAATATATAATAATATTTTCATAAAAATAAATACGGTTATGCGAATCGAGTGAAAATTCGATTTTCGATTGAATTTTTCGTCAGATTTAAATTTTTCCTGTTAAAAAATGGTGTGACAGGAGAATTTTATAGCGAAATTGTTGTTTTTGAAATAAACCTTAGGTATAATTGAATATAATTCCATGAATAAAAAGTACAAAAATACAAAGACTGAACGATACTCCTTTATGGCAAACAGCAACTAATAGGGAAAATAAGGCCGTTCTTATTTTCTTATTTTCTTATTTCTGCCGTTATGAAGACGGCCGCAGTTATGAGACAGACAACGTTATGAGAACAACCGCCGTTATGACAGACAACGTTATGAGGACGGCGCCGTTATATGACAGACAACGTTATGAGATTGAAATAAACCTTAGGTATAATTGAATATAATTCCATGAATAAAAAGTACAAAAATACAAAGACTGAACGATACTCCTTTATGGCAAACAGCAATCTATAGGAAAATAAGGCCGTTCTTATTTTCTTATTTCTGCCGTTATGAGGACGACTGCCGTTATGAGAACGACCGGCGTTATGAGTCCGGCTGCCGTAATGAGAATGCCCGGCGTTATGAGAACAGGCTGCCGTTATGAGAACGGCCGGCGTTATGAGTCCGGCTGCCGTAATGAGAACGGCCGGCGTTATGAGTCCGGCTGCCGTAATGAGAACGGCCGGCGTTATGAGAACGGCCTGAATTGTGAGTTCGGCTGCCATTATGAGTAGCCATACTCATTCTTTGTTACAGGAGTTCTTGTTTGGCCAGAAACTGTCTCAATAAAACCAGCGCAAAGTCTTAAAACTTTCAGGCTTGGCTGAGATTTGTGAACTCAGTGAAGTTCTTCTAGAAGGTTAACATGATTTTTTCATATCTTTACGCTGTGAGTAACGGAAGTCGTCTGTCATACGCCATAAGTTTTTACATTCTGTGCGAAATTTACGCAATTAGAGACTACTTTTAAATGTTGATGTCATTGTATAGGTTCATAGTAGTTTTAACATACGATGCAGGTTTAGAGATACAGATACGTAAAAAAATCGTTACAGGCGCTCACATAATGAAAAATGTATTGATCGATTCGAACAAACGAGTTTTTAATGCTTCGAAGTTACCCTAACCAGAAGAGGGAAAGAATATTTTCATGCAGTTATAATGCTTATTATTCTGATGCGTTCTGCATAAAAGGTAATGCTTAAGTTAAATAAGTAATTATTGATGCCGCAGGCCAGTTATTATGGAGGCATTAATTTAGGTGCTCAGGCCGCGTTCAACTAATTTTATTTGGGTCTCTAAATCAAGCGTTGGTCAATATTTAGGCTTCATCCAATCAGGCTAATCGAGTGGAGAAAAAAAACATCGATTCTNCTCTAAATCAAGCGTTGGTCAATATTTAGGCTTCGTCCAATCAGGCTAATCGAGTGGAGAAAAAACCATTCTACTACCTTCTGATTTCGCAGGACCAAAAATCTCCGCATCAGAATGAATAGTACATATTGTACTCCTAATGGACATTAGGTACCGCTATCAATTGATTTTATGTACAGTGACCTATCGTGCTCTCTTGTAATCCTAATTGATATTACATACAACTCCTTCATGTATATTAATTCAGTTCCTTTGCCCTTATAGTGTACACTTGTAGGTACTCCTAATGGATATTAAGTACCCTCGCCCTAAGTAGTACACGTGCTCCACTCCTAATGGATATTAAGTACCCTCTCCCTAATTAAGTAGCACACATGCTCCACTCCTAATGGATATAAACTACACTGGATATTAAGTACGCTACCTCGAGTCGCTCGTCGGCCATGCATTAAAAATCGCTGCTTGCCTCTATGTTTATAGGGCCGGTGAAATGTGCCCACCGTGGTCCCGTAGCTGCTATTTACGGCAGCTTTTATAAGGCAATCAGAGTCCAGGATACAGCGAGGCAGCTCTTATTACAGCTATGCCAGTGGCATGAGAGAGTGGCATGAGAGAGTGGCATGACAGAGTGGCATGACAGAGTGGCATGAGAGAGTGGCATGAGAGAGTGGCATGACAGAGTGGCATGAGAGAGTGGCATGACAGAGTGGCATGACAGAGTGGCATGACAGAGTGGCATGACAGAGTGGCAGGATAGAGTGGCATGACATAGTGGCATGGCAGAGTGGCATGACAGAGTGACATGACAGAGTGATATGACAGAGTGGCATGACAGAGTGGCATGACAGAGTGGCATGACATAGTGGCATGACAGAGTGGTATGACAGAGCGGCATGACATAGACTGGCATGAGCAGAGACTGGCATGAGAGAATGGTATGACAGAGTGGCATGACAGAGTGGCATGACAGAGTGGCAGGACAGAGTGGCATGAGAGAGTGGCATGAGAGAGTGACATGACAGAGTGGCATGACAGTCACAGAGTTCGAGTAGCATGGCTGTGTGGCATGACAGAGTAGCATGACAGTGTGGCATGACAGAGTGGCATGACAGAGGGGCATGACAGAGTGGCATGACAGAGTGGCATGGCAGAGTGGCATGACAGAGTGGCATGACAGAATGGTATGCCAGATTAGCATGACAGAGTAGCATGACAGTTAAAAGTTCGAGTAGCATGACAGTATCACATGAGAGTTTCGGTTTGGTCTCGAGACTTTTTGCGAATAAAGAATTCATAGTTTTAATTGTTAAACATTGTGGAAAGCAGAATGCTGCGAGATATTAAATATAATACTGCGAATCGCTTATAAGAATAATTTCAATTCCAAAAATATTATGATACGATAAAGTAAGTACTTTGAAACACCAACATGTGTGTTGTTACTGAGTGGTATATCATAATCGACACTGTAGCTGTACTTTGAATTGGTACTGCTTGAAATTCCTTGAATAGAAATTTTACTCAAGATAAATTAATTCAACATCTACTAAATTTGAACTCGTGGTATCATTTTCAAACATTATTAAGATGCATAATAAAATAATTCTATTAATTAAATTTATTTTAGTAAAGTTAGTACTAGAATGCCACTATTAGCAACTCTTCGCATTTAACTGGTATAAGTTATAGTAATATAAGTATAAGTATCAGTAACTATTTAGTAGTATTCTTTGCTATTACCACAGAATAATAAGTTCCCTAATACTGCGGATATCAATCGGATCATGGATCAAGATCAATTATTGGATCATTTTCAAGACTAAGCAATGAATAATATCCAGTTGATAAAAAACCAAGTCATTAGTCGTACTCGCAGTTGCTGAAGATTAACGAGAGACTGGCATGAGCAGAGACTGGCATGAGCAGAGACTGGCATGAACAGAGACTGGCTTGAGCAGAGACTGGCATGAGCAGAGACTGGCATGAGGAGAGACTGGCATGAGGAGAGACTGGCATGAGGAGAGACTGGCATGAGGAGAGACTGGCATGAGGAGAGACTGGCATGAGGAGAGACTGGCATGAGCAGAGACTGGCATGAGGAGAGACTGGCATGAGGAGAGACTGGCATGAGCAGAGNGATAATTTTACACCATTATAACATAAAATATGATATATTTAAAAACATCATCATGACAGTGGTAATTTTGGCTAACATTCTAAGATTTCTGCTGCAAAGTGTTAAAAAAATAATTAAGTTTAGCCTGACACGTAATGGACATGAATAGCAAAGCCCGGCATTACACTATTCATAAACTTTTGTCTTTTATTCACATTAGAATATAATTTTAAAAATTATTATCGCCAGAATAGATTTTTATGATGTCAATTCGCGAATCTTCACTAATATAATATTTATTTTTATCATAAATAATGTTGAAATAAATAAATAATCTATTGCTCGACAGATCTCCCGCAGCCGCCCCGGCATGAAGCCGTCGCGATGAAGAGCTTCTCAGCCGTGCTGGTAATCCAGCCTCTTCTCTTCCTCTCTGGTATGTCTGTTATAACATTACTTATTTATATTAATATCTTTTTAATTCAATTCTTATTCTAAACATTATATTTTTCATACTATAGTACTTTCAATTATACTCTGATAATAAATGCTGGTCATATAGCCTCTTCTCTTCCTCTCTGGTGTGTCTCTTATAACATTACTTATTTATATTAATATCTTTTCAATTCTTATTCTAAACATTATATTTTTCATACTATGTACTTTCAATTATACTCTGATAATAAATGCTGGTCATCCAGCCTCTTCTTTTAATTTCTGGCATGTCTGTTATAACCTATTTATACCGATATTCTCTTCAATATAATTATTATTCTCAACATTATATTTCATACCAAAATCTTATCATTGTTAATATCTTTTCAGTTTAATTCTTATTCTAATTATTATATTTTTCACTGTAGTCCTATCAATTTCACTTTGATATTAAACGTACTTCATTACATTTCAAACAATCAATTTAATTCGCATTGGTTATAATTAAAAAGATAATAATTCTGTTATAACATTTCCAATTCATATGAATATCTTTTCTATTCAATTCTTATTCTAATTATTATATTTTATACTACAGTCGTCTTTTTAATTCGATTCTTATTCTAATTATTATATTTTATACTACAGTCATCTTTTTAATTCGATTCTTATTCTAAAAATTATATTTTTTACTACAGTCATCTTTTTAATTCGATTCCTATTTTAAACATTATATTTTATACAACAGTCTTCTTTTTAATTCGATTCGTTTCTAAACATCATATTTTAAACTATAGTCATCTTTATAGTTAGATTCTTATTTTAAATACCTATGATATTTTATAGTAAAGTCATCTTTTTAATTCGATTCTTATTCTAAACATTATATTTAATACTATAGTCGTCTTTTTAATTCAAGTCTTCTTCTAAACATTACATTTCATACAATAGTCATCTTTTTAATTCGATTCTTATTCTAAACATTATATTTAATACTATAGTCATCTTTTTAATTCAAGTCTTCTTCTAAACATTATATTTCATACTATAGTCATCTTTTTAATTCGATTCTTATTCTGAACATTATATTTAATACTATAGCCACCTTTTTAATTTCATTCTTATTCTAATCATAATATTTCATACTATAGTCTTATCAATTTTACTCTGATGATAAACGTATTTAATTATACTATAATTCAATCAATTAAGTTTTGATTCTAAATGTTATAAATATTTTTATTCATTGAGTCGTAGTTACCCGAAGCCGACACAGTCGTCAAATAATAAATTCTAAGAAATTCTTGGTTAAAATGCAATTGAAGAATACTAATGATATAGCTATTTTTGTATTTTCCAAGAGCTTTTGATGAAGATTTATTGAATTTATTTTGAGTTTTTGTTTCTACATTCTGGATTGATTAATTCTTTAGCGAGATTTTTACTTTTCTATTTCCAGTTTGGTGCACAAGTACGAACAATTATTGGAGAGACAGCAGTTCACAGGAAGATCTCACATCTCAAAGGCCCCATAAACCAAATCTTAAAAACTGGTTTTCGCACCAATCCACAATCTTGGACAACAACACTCACAACAAATTAAGAAGACGAAGAACAATCCCTATTTTGAAAAAGGAGCTAAAGTTCAGAAAAATTGGTGGTCCTCCGACGAAGCAAGTCTACGACCATGAAGAGCACAACCACATGCCGCCTTTTGTTGATCAGTTGCCGCCAGGTCCATTTTTTGATGTCGAGAGATCAGGCAACGTCACGGCCCTGGTCGACCAATCGGCGCGCCTCAATTGCAGGGTCAATCAGATAGGGAATAGAACCGTGAGTAAAATATTGTCTTATTTTATATGGGTAAATCTTAACATATGAGTAAAATATTGTCTTATTTTACATGGGTAAATCTTAACATATGAGTAAAATGTTGTCATATTTTATATGAGTAAATCTTAACATATGAGTAAAATGTTGTCATATTTTACATGAGTAAATCTTAACATATGAGTAAAATATTAATAAATTTTAGATAGGGAATAGAACCGTGAGTAAAATATTGTCTTATTTTATATGGGTAAATCTTAACATATGAGTAAAATATTGTCTTATTTTATATGAGTAAATCTTAACATATGAGTAAAATATTGTCATATTTTATATGAGTAAATCTTAACATATGAGTAAAATATTGTCATATTTTATATGAGTAAAACTTAATATATGAGTAAAATATTAACAAATTTTAGATAGGGAATAGAACCGTGAGTAAAATATTGTCATATTTTATATGAGTAAATCTTAACATATGAGTTAAATATTAACAAATTTTAGAGAAATATGAAAACTCAATCATCTGCCTTCAAATCTTTATAGTGTGTATTATTTACTGTTAGAACAATAAAAATAGTAATCGTTCAAATTGAGTTACTTATTTGAATACCAACATTTGGTACTTTGTTCAGGTGTTATTATACATTTGGCATCATTGATAGTTTGATTGGTATTACTGTCAATTTTTTTTTTCGCCAGTTTGGTTGGCATTTTGCAAGTTAGCTTCGTATTTCAGCCAGTTGGTGTCTTTGCTAGTTTAATTACATTTAACCTCATATGAATACCATATTTTCTAGTTAGGTTGCCATTTTTAGCGCATTTTCTCATTTATGAAAAAAAGCGCTATTGTGCTCGCCATGTCCGTCCGTATGTCTGTTCGTCTGTCTGTCTGTCTGTCTGTTTGTCCGTCCGTGACTTCACGTTTTCGTCGACGAGAAAATGCTCTCTCTATCACTCACTGCAGTGAGTACTGAGTTATATTTTATATTTTTTCCGGTTCTGGAGCATATCTAGCCAGCTTGGATGCCATTATCACCAATTTTAAGACACTAGAACCTGGTGCAACCATTATCACCAATTTTAAGACACTAGAACCTGGTGCAACCATTATCACCAATTTTAAGACACTAGAACCTGTTGCAGGTATCCTGGCTACGTCACCGAGACCTGCACCTGCTAACGGTTGGCCGCTACACCTACACGAGCGACCAGCGGTTCAGGGCAGAACACGTCGCAGGTTCAGAGGACTGGCCGCTGACCATCAAGTTTGCACAGGTGCGAGACTCTGGCCATTACGAGTGTCAAGTGTCCACCACACCGCCCATCAAACACTCGCTCTGGCTTGATGTTGTTGGTGAGTAAATCCTAATATGAGTTTTTACAATTTCCGGAGGTTACTAATTCAAGTTTTTTTCATAGCATGCAAAATTCCGGGTTTTTTTTCGCGTTTTTTAAACGCATTCATGATCACATACAACAAGGAGTAACTTATTGTAAATTAATAAACTATTCTTCTGAAGTTGAAAACATGAATTCCCTATTGAAAATGCGTATAAATTTTTCTTTTTTACTTTGAATTCCTACCAATAATTTATTTATTTGAATTTTTTTTTACATTTTTACTGATATTTCGTTTTATAACTCAAAATAATTTGGTAACATCTTACCCTCGTCAGAACCGCAGACGAGGATCCTAGGAGGTCCTGACGTGTACATCAACAGAGGCAGCAGCATCAACCTGACGTGCGTCGTGGACTACACGCCTCGGCCTCCAGACTTCGTCATATGGAAGCATAACAATAAGGTGGGAGCTGCCATATGGAATAATAAGGTGGGAGCTGCCATATGGAATAATAAGGTGGGAGCTGCCATATGGAATAATAAGGTGGGAGCTGCCATATGGAATAATAAGGTGGGAGCTGCCATATGGAAGCATAACAATTATATGAAATCGGTTTTATGCTACATGAACTTTTTATCTAAATTTGTATATATCCACTCTGAAGACCAATACATTTTATTGCTATGTAGTCTTGGCCATTTTACAACCTTATCATATAATATAGGTATCTAAGAGGAACCACAAGGCAAATTCCATTACAGTAATCCTCAGGATATTTTTTATTTATTCTGAATGTTATCAGCCACAATTGAAACAGTTTGCAATAACGCATGCAATAAATTGTGTTTATTTTAATTCTCAAAATTCTGATTTGAATTGTGTTATTTTTAATTCTCAAAATTCTGATTTGAATTGTGTTTATTTTAATTCTCAAAATTCTGATTTGTGACATAGATCATCAGCTACGACAGCGAGCGAGGCGGCGTTAACGTTGTTACAGAGAAGGGTCCCCAAACATCGACCAACCTCCTCATCCGCAACGCGTCTGAGCGCGACTCAGGCTCTTATTCCTGCAGTCCGAGCTCCGCGCCCGCAACATCCGTCATCGTACACATCCTGAACGGTGATTAACTTCAGAGCGGTATCAGTGATACACTAGATAACAACATCCGTCATCGTGCACATCCTGAACGGTGAATAACTTCAGAGTGGTATCAGTGATACGCTAGATAAGTCCGTCATCGTACACATCCTGAACGGTGATTAACTTCAGAGTGGTATCAGTGATACGCTAGATAAGTCCGTCATCGTACACATCCTGAACGGTGAATAACTTCAGAGCGGTATCAGTGATACACTAGATATGTCCGTCATCATACTTTTAGTTAATTATATTAATTAATATAATAATAATAATATAATGATTAATTTTAAATTACCTAAATGGTAAATAAACTTCAGAGCGGTATCAGTGATACACTAGATATGTCCGTCATCATACTTTTAGTTAATTATATTAATTAATAATATAATTATAATATAATAATAATAATAATAATAATAATAATAATAATAATAATAATAATAATAATATAATGATTAATTTTTAATTACCTAAATGGTAAATAAACTTCAGAGCGGTATCAGTGATAGGTACACTCGATAGGTCCGTCATCGTACACATCCTGAACGGTGATTAACTTCAGAGTGGTATCAGTGATACACTCGATATGTCTGTCATCGTACACATCCTAAACGGTAGTTAAACTTCAGAGCGGTATCAGTGATACACTCGAAAGGTGCGTCATCCTACACATCCTGAACGGTGATTAACTTCAGAGCGGTATCAGTGATACACTCGATATGTCTGTCATCGTACACATCCTGCAGAACGGTGATGAAGGTCCCAACATATATCAGTGATACTCCTGGCAGATTCGTCATAGCAAATATCCTAAGCTTGTCGGTTGTTTTCCACAGTTCAGGGGCCATACTTTCAAAACTCACTAAGTGAACGTAAATACTAACGCTCTATTTTCTTATCTATGATTGGTGGATTTTGCTTGAAAGGCCGTCAATGATTGGCTGATAAACTTACGATCTCTTAACTTTGTTTGAAAGTATAGGGACTGATAATCAATCCTCAGAAACAAGGACATCACATTTTGTGGCTGTGAAGGTAAATGGTGAATAACAATTGTCCATAACAGCCTGAATGATGTCTTCGTGCAACTGCTAATTAACATCGATGGAGCTGATTGATGTAATCGCTAAATAATTATTATAAAATTAGTGTATTTTAAGATTTGAAGTTGCCCTTTAATTTTAATATATAACAATTGCATGAATGAGGCAGAGATGTTGGACGGTAAATTGGATCTACTATTGTCTCTGGCGTATTATTAAATATTATCTTCCAAATATATCCTTATTACAAATTACTTGAAAAAATATCAAATAATAACATTACGTGAGTATTAAGAAACCTAAATATTGGCTGCTTACATATTTAAATTAGTTATTCATTATTGCAATCAAATCTAATAATATCTATAAATTATAAGCCTGAAATCTGCAATATAAAGTTATTAGCTAATGCAATCTAAAATTGATCACACAGGCGAGCACCCAGCAGCGATGCAACATGGCGGCCATTCCCCTCAGGAGCTTTCCCTCGGCCTTGCCCTCACCGCCCTCATGAGCGTCGCTTCCTTCGCTGCTGCTACCCTCTGATACGGTCGACCAAACGTTCATTATTAATAATAATTCATTCAATAAATTGGTCATTGTTAATGCTCGATCAAACGTTCATTATTGAATGTTCATTTATTCAATAAATTGTTCATTATTAATGTTCGATCAATAATCATTATTAACTGTCAATTCACTCAATAAATTGTTCATTATTAACGGTCGACCAAACGTTCATTATTGAATGTCCATTTATTCAATAAATTGTTCATTATTAATGTTCGATCAAGCGTTCACGTATGATTCCGATAACAGAATCTATTGAATTGCTCATCATTGATGTTTCAATCGACAAGGATTCTGCCGTTGAATCAACGTCGATGGAATGTTGACTTTTTGTTGACTGAATGTTGTTTTGAAAACTTTCATCTTAAAGGAAGCCATTTTCATATGAATCGAAAATAAATTATGTATAAACTCACCAGGCACCAGACGGTAATTCAACGTTGATTAAACGTTTAAACGAGTGAATTACGTCTATTGAACGTTTTTTAACGGTTATTTGCTTCGAGGGAGCCCATTCATCGCGAGGCGTTCATTGCACTACATGCGTACGCTCGAGTTTCAATTGAAATTTTATAATAAAAAATTGTTACATTTGTCAGAGATTCTATAAAGATTTAATCGTAGGTTCAAAAGTTAATTTATATCTATACTTTAAATATATACTTCGACTTACGTTAACCTTGGCCAAGAAGTAAATTTTGTGTATATAATGTCATGCTTGTTAGCTTTAATCTTGATGGGATCTTTACGGATGAAACCTAAATGCCTATGAATTTCAAGACTTCATATAATAAAAACTGGCTCAATGTTACCAGCATTTTTGCAATGCACAAAGCAAAATAATATGAATAAAGATATATGAAATTTAAATAAAAGATACGGCATTAATAGCGTTGATGATACTTGATACTAATAATAAAAGCTAAGGTTTTATCAGGAGGAAAGGCGTCTCGGTGTGCACAATTTTATACCTACCAGATATTTGTGTGCTGCTGGTTCTTCTTTGTTAATTGATGAGGCTGTAGCCATCAAATATATTTGCAGCTCTCTCAGGTTAGGCATTTACTTGCAATATTTGATTTAAACGATATATATTATCACCATCTCGTTAGCAGCGTGAAGTACAAGCTCAATAATTGAATTTGAGATGCCTTCACATAAAATTGTAATCGAAACCACATTTTCAGAATATTGTTGGTTAAGTTTTAATATAAAATATAAATAGTAAAACATGAAATGTTCCAAAGAAACATTTTCGTCGGGCGTCCTAAACGCAACGCATGTCAAGAATGTATAAAAAATTCGAATAGCACCCAATGAATTTTAATTGAAAAATTATCTTCCGTTAAAACCCGAGCCAAACTAATAAATTCAGAACTGAAATGCAGAGACAATAACTGCACGATGCTGCAGTTAAAATATCATTTTCTTTGAGGAGAGTAGCTATTTAAATTCATTTAATAAGTTGGAAATAGTTAAATCGTTATTGTAACTAGTGTTATGACGAGAGATGAATGGAACGTGGGTAATGAATGATGCCACAAGAATTTATTCCAATACCTGCCCATGCTGCGCGCTTTGAGTGCATTTTTTTAATGTTGTTCATAATGAATCTGAAACAGTTTTTCTTGAAACGTTAAATTCATTCCGAGATTATAGTGAATATTTAATTCCGGACAACGTGAGAAAAGCAAAAAAATAAATTGTAATATGTTTATAGCAGAAAGAATGATCTCACTTCCAAAGGAATATCTAGATTTTCTTTCGCCTAAACGTATGGATTGAACCGATTCACATAACTAAATTTGAAAAGCATTTATTGGAGACTTGTAAATACTGTAAAGAGAATTTTGACTCCCGTGCTTTTTGTATTATAATAAGAACAGTTTTTATGACCTAAAAATTAGTTGCTGAGTTACTAGTATATAAAAGATTACCATCGTTACCCTGTAATGATGGTCATTACCACTGGCTGATAATAACCATAGGGAATTAATTGTATCCTTTATAATAAATGGAAATGCCGACTGACAAATATATTTATTTGATGTTCACTTCCGATTAAAAAAAAAAACCTAACCGCAACGATATAATATTTTTATTAACAAGATCCAGATATCAGATATTAATGAAATTCAGATAACTTCAGAACGGCATTAACCATATTTTAACAAGTCAAAGCTTACGCCAATTTATTATATTTATTTTAAAAATTTAATACGTTTGTGCGCGTTGTGCAACCTGCCTCGTAAAAAAATTAAATAATCTACAAGGATTCTCATGAAAATTTTTGGCATATTTTCTTTTCTTGATAAAATTCAATTGGGGAAACTTTCACATATTTAATGGATCTGATGAGAAATATCACTTCCTCATTGTTTTAGTTATAAGTCGGTGAAGTGTACAGTTTTTGTATATATGCTAGATTTAAAATGTTGACATATCGGAAGATGTTCTGGCAAATACAATGGCTTCAGAACTGTTCGTTTCCATATCCTAAAGTTAACTATTAAAAACGCTATTTCCAAGTACATAATTAAGTAATTTGAAAATGAGCTTCATATAAAAAAATCGTTCAATGTATTGATAGTATTTTAGGTAAAAATCCACACATATATTTAATATCTGTGTCTAATGGGACTAACAGATATGGACCACATATATTGACTCACACACATATGCATAATAGAATTGATTGACTATTTATTCTTCGTTATCTTTTTCCGAGCACGAGGGTAGGCCCAATTTCAAAACGAACCGGTAACTGAGATTTGACCAATAACTGATTCACCCTAGACCCACATATTCATCCTAGACCCTAGACATCAAATGTGCACTAGATAATTGCAGCATCACAGCCTTGGCTAGGTCTACGTCGGTTAATTTTGAGTCTTTACAGGCACTGGCCTAATTTGGCTACTTTAGCTAAAATACGAGCGCAAGTCTAGTTGAACTTGCCAGTCCACCAGCAAAAATCTCCCTCCAGTTTCAAAAATTGTTTGAGTTGTGACCTGAAGCGCCAAGTTTGTTTGGTGCGCCGGCAGTTTTACGGACAGCAACGACCCCTCCCAAGACCTCTATGCGCTCAAGAAATATAATATAATATACACCCTGGCTACAAGCGTGTTCGGAAGACGCGTTAATGCAACGAAAATATGATACATGTTCAGCTTTTGATGTTTGAGTCTTCATTTAGTTTTTAATAACAAAGTAATTGATTATACCATATCAAAATGGACATAATTGTAAGAAAGATTATGCGCGGCAACTAATTGGCAATTTGTGGGCAATTGTATCTCGTCGGTCAATAGTAAAACGAAATCATTCATGTTAAGTCATTGTGTATGAAATAATCTGAATGAAAGGCATTCATTACCAGCGTCTTAATTCCAGCTGAGGTAACAATGTGAATCATTTGAACGCAAGCATTATGCATTAGGTTGAACACGTTAAATAAACTGGCGTCGAGACAAAACGATGTAAGTAAAAAGAAATAAAAGGCAAGTTCTGCAACGGAGTCTCGCAGGCGTGCGAGGTAAAGCCTACCGAGACTAGAGGCCGTGATTCCATTTGTCGACGGGATTTATAAGATGCGATCTCTTATAAAGTTTGAAGACTCGAGTGCGAGAAAGAGGCTTCTAAAAAACTTGCAGGATCCTCACTTGAGCGACTTAGGGAGGCCTTGATATCTTAATGCAATCGCCGAGACTCTCTGATTACTAATGAAAACCTAGGCCCCAGAACACCACGGGAGCTGTGAACAGTTTTGCGTGTTGAACTGTAAGGAGGAAACCGTACACTCAGAGAAAAGGGTGGGTTATAATGTTCAAATATTGACCAACTATCTCACCCTCAGCACAACCAGAGAAGATACGTAGCACTGAAACGTCATTAATGGAGAGCCTTAAACTGGGTCAGGATGACTCACAACGGGCAAAATGTGTGTCATAATTTGGGTAAGATATCATTCAATTCTAAAAGTGTACTGGAGAATGTCGTGCGTTAAGAAAAGTGAGATCAAATGAGGTAATATGGTCACGGCATCAATGTCGTGAGTTAAGAAAAGTTTAAAATAAAAAAGCTAAAATTTACAATGCATATAGGCAGCCCATATATGCATATATTTTGATAGTATATCTAGTGAAACAATAACGTCAGCAAGGCATCAATTAGCGTCTAGCATGTTTCTAGTTCTTAACAAACTCTTTCCATTGAATACTCTGGATAGAGCGCTTTATTTAGACAAGTTTGGTTAAAAAGAATGCCATTCTTATTCAGAACTTTCTTTTAGAAGTTTTTTCTAAGTTTCTCCAGCTTTTTCATAATATTATCAATAACAGTTAAGTACACTATTTTAGATTATGACGGCTTTGCAATAATTTTATTATCTATGTTGTGAAAATGACTCGTCTTTCGGTCGCTCAACGTATTCTCTGTTATGCAAATGTTTTGCATATTCTGAAAAGCAATAGACTACAGACAAAGGTACCGAGCATCGAAATCTTCAATAATAATCATTAATTCAAATCAATAATCAAATTTCAATTGATTATTATTACATAAATTAAATTTAATTTAAATATTAATCATTAATTAAAATTAATAATCAAAATTTTACTCGCAAAATATAGCGAATTTTCCCTAGAAGTATTGTCGAATTACATCGGCCGTGATTCTTACAAGCCCATGTAAAATATTAAATCCTACCCTCAAGCATCAGATTTTTCACCACGCATGGGCATGCATTTACAATCATCAGCACGGACATGCATTTATTGATGCTTTCTGGGTAGGATTGAGGCTGGGCTGCAGGATTGCAGGATATGGCTGCAGGATATGGCTGCAGGATATGGCTGCAGGATATGGCTGCAGGATTGCAGGATATGGCTGCAGGATTGCAGGATATGCCTGCAAAAACATCGTTAAAACTAAGCCTCTCGAAAAGCCGATACGAAGAAGTATTCAATATAACATTCCCACGTCGCCTTGAACTTCGCTGTAGTGCACCTTTATGCAACGTTGAGGTACGTGCGACATGATGGGCGCTGTTAGGTTTTGATGTTGTAGCCTGCCTCTGTTGTTATGGTTACA